GGACGCTGGTCAGACCTGGTTGGCCCAAACTTATTGTGAGGGTTTGCTGGGATCGTCTGGCAGAGTTCCCCGTGAGATGGAGCTTTAACTGCCACCTCTGGGAGTGCTTTGAACATGTTATGAGGGAGGTGGGGTACAGTAAGTCTAAGTGGACCATGTTCCATGCCTCTAATGCTGAGGCGGATAGTCGGAGCTGTGGTTGGTAGGTTGTCGGTGCATGTTGCGGCGCAAACCCTCGAACATGCTGGTGGACACCAGTGGTGAGTGAAGATGAAGAAGGAGTTCTATTGGGCTTTATTGACCTGGGAAATAACTTCTGTTACACACTCCAGATACAAACATTTTTACATGTATATATATACAATAAACCACACAAGATAATATTAATATATACACATATAACTCCTATATATGTATAAAAAAAAAAAAAAAAAACTGTTTTCTCACCCCTCGCGGGGTGGTATGTGTCATCCTCAAGCTCGGTTCCTCTACCAGAAGATATATATATATATATATATATATATATATATATATATATATATATATATATATATATATATATATATATATATATATATATATATATATATATATTGTATATATTGTATATATATATTAAATATATATATAATAATTATATATATATATAATATATAATTTCCTGGTTTTTAAGAAATTATATATATATATTTTATGCTTCCATCAAAACTGTACAAAACTACAGAACAGTAAACAGGACTTCAAAGTACTTCATAAACTTACATTTTTTCCTAAACATAAGACAAAAATAAAGATGTACTGTTAAAATAAAGTGCACACTCCGTTATGAAATACGGACTTAATTCAAATAAAATGAAGTTACTCACAAAATAATAAATAAATCAAACAAAATTACAATAGCTAGGTTTTGCAGTCATCTCAACAACATAACATTTTACATGTAGAACATTCTCAAAATGCTTTAATATTCCTTTGCTTTGAACAGGAACTGCAGCAGCAGCGCAGTCCACATGACTTAGTTAATTTCTTTGTCTTGTTTGCACTAAGCCAGTGAGACGCTAGTTTCTTCTGGATAACATAGACAGAGGACTCGGGTTTTGTCAAGAGAGCCTTCTGGCATAACTTTAAAAAGAAACTTATCATTCAGGATATGTTGTCTGCTGACCATTTTTGACCATTCAAGGCACAGGTCTGTTATGCTGTGGACTCTCCTGCAAACTTAGCATTCCTGGAACTACAGAAAGCGCAAAGGGTAAAACAAACAGTACAGAGAGGGCTGCAGAAAAATGAAGAACATGAGCGAACAATGCGTTTGTTTTGATGCGCGATTAACTTGCGTAAAAAAAAATGTCGGCGTTATAGTCTAAAGCAGTTGTTAATAACGCTTTAAAACTGAAAGCCCTAATATATATATATATATATATATATATATATATATGCATATGTATAACTATAAATTCAGATAAAGTGCTAGTGACATGCAAAAACAGTGCAAGGAATGAATAAATATAAATTTCAGAGGGGGTGGTGTCTGAATCACTTGACGGAGGCGTTTTAGAGATTGATGACCACAGGCATGAATGATTTCCTGTGGCACTCTGAGGTGCATCTAGGTAAAAGGAGTCTTCTACTGAATGAGCTCGTCTACTGGACCAGTGTGTCATGGAGAGGATGTGAGTCATTGTCTAAGATGGACTGAGGCCTGGACAGCACCCTCCTTTCTGCCACGGTGGTCAGAGTGTCCAGCTCCTCCCCAACAACAGCACCGGCCCTCCTGATCAGTTTGTTCAGTCTGTTGTTGTCAGCGACCCTTAGCCCACCCATGCCCCAGCATGTGACAGCAAAGAAGAGCGTACTAGCCATAACAGACTCATAAAACATCCTCAGCATCGCCCCACAGATGTTAGAGGACCTCAGCCTCCTCAGTAAAAACAGTCGGCTTTGGCCTTTTGTAGACCACCTCAGTGTTTCTAGTCCAGTCCAACTTATTGTTAAAGTACACTCCCAGGTACCTTTACTCCTCCACAGTATCAACAGGAACCCCCTGGATGTAAAAAGGGGTCACAGGTGTTTTCGTCCTTCTTAGATTCACTATTGGCTCCTTAGTCTTTGTCACGTTCAGCTCACACCAAGTGACAAAGTTGCCCACAACAGTGCTGTATTCACTCTCCTCACCCCTTTCAATGCAGCCAACAATTCTGAGTCATCAGAAAACTTCTGAAGGTGGCAGGACTCTGTGCAATAGATGAAGTCCGAGGTGAAAAGGGTGAAGAAGAAGGGGGAGAGGACAGTCCCCTGGGGGCCCCCAAGTGTTGCTGGCCACCCTGTCAGACACACAGTTCTGTAGGCGTACATACTGTGGTCTGCCCGTCAGGTAATCAACAAGGACATGATGGGAGCTTCCACCTGCATCGCAGTCATCCTCTCACCCAGTAGAGGCGGGCGGATGGTGTTGAAGGCACTGGAGAAATCAAAGAACATGATTCTCACAGTGCTTGCCGGCTTGTCCAAATGATTGTAGACTCTGTTCAGCAAGAAGATGATGCGGTCCTCAACTCCCAGGTGGGGCTGGTAGGCGAACTGTAGTGGATCAGTGAAGGGCTGCTCCAGGACTAGCCTCTCAAAGGTCTTCTTCATATGGCGCGTCAGTGCCACCGGTCTGTAGTCCCGCGGCGTCTTTGGCACAGGAACGATGCAGGACGTGTCCACACCACAGGGACTCTCTGGAGGAGCATGCTCAGGCTGAAACCTAGGCTAAGTACTCCCCACAGCTGATATGAACAAGCTTTGAGCACCCTGGGGAATACACCATCGGGGCCTGCAGCTCTGCCGGAGTGGAATCTGGTTAGCTGTCTTCTCACCAGGTCAGGAGTGAAGACACTGTAGAGGTAAAAATAGGGGGAGGGGTGAGGTCCTCAGGTTGTGGAGGACATGATGTGAAGTAGGGGGAAGGGGTGGAGTCGGTGGATGTGGATTGAGGTGGTGAAGAGCAGACAGGGGGTCTGTAAGGAGGAGGAGTGGGGGAAGGTGGAGTGGTTGTTGTAGGGAAGCCAGCAGTACAGGGTTGTGGGGGATGGGCCTCAGTATCAAACCTATTGAAAAATAAGTTCAGTTCATCGGCCCAGTCCACGCAACCCTCCAACCCCACACCAGTGGACTTCTGGAACCCAAAGTGGCAGGTGGCTCGCCTGGTCGCTGAGGCAAAAACTTAGGTGTGGGAAGAGTTCGGAGAGCTCTTGATTTACTGGTCGATCTATGTTCCTACTCTCATCTATGGTAATGAGCTTTGGGTCATGACCGAAAGATTGAAATCCCATATTCAAGTAGCTGAAATTAGTTTTCTCCATAGTGTGTCTGGGCTCTCCCTCAGAAACAGGGTGAGGAGCTCAGTCATCCAGGGAAGACTCAGAGTAGAGCCGCTACTACTCCACATCTAGAGGAGCCAGTTGAGGTGGCATGGGCATCTGGTTAGGAGGCCTCCTGGACGTCTCCCTGGTGAGGTGTTCCAGGCACATCCCACTGGGAGGGGGCCCAGGGAGAGACCCAGGACACGCTGGATGGACTATGTTTCTCAGCTTGCCTAGGAGCGCCTTGGGATTTCCGTGGAAGAGCTGGCCCAAGTGGCTCAGGAGAGGGACGTCCGGGCCTCCCTATTGAAGCTGCTACCCCCACGACCCAACCCCGGATAAGCAGAAGAAGATTGATGGATGGATGGATGAATATTTGTATGGCAGAGCAGAACAGTTTTCTTTTTCTTCATGTATAGCAACCTGAATGGTCATGGTACGGAATTGTGCTAATTAAAAACACTCTCTGTGTCTTACAAAGAGCCCAGAATTTAAAGTATAATACAAATGAATACAAAAAGTGTGGATTTTAAACATACTTACAGTACAACTAAAAAGCAAAACACATGCCCAAATGCAAAAGGTTGAAACAAAAGCAAAATAAATTGAAGGAATAATCAGAAAAGAAAATGGGAGCTAACATACCACAGTCAAAGTGGGTGATACTGTTATGTTTGCAGACCTGATCAGGTTTCAAAAGAATCTTAAACATTTACAGAATTACGGACTATCATGAAGAAAGTTGGACAAAACACTTTCTTACTAAACGACGGACGTAAGTGGAATGTTTCAAAACTTGCACACTTCCCTAAACAAACCATAGCTGGTTCAGAAAAGATAGTTTAATACCTTTTTACTGTCAGGAAAGACTAATGAATCTGCTACTACACTTAGAAGAAATCAGAGATCTAGAAATGCATCAAGAGAGTTGACAGGTTTTGTAAGATAATGTCAAAACTGTAAATCACTACTGTTCAGACTGGTATTAGTGTTCTATAAGACAAGTTGAGATATACTACTGTTCGGCTAAAGTAAAATACAGTAAAAATAAAGAGGTTTAAATATTCATACTATAATCCTTATGCTTAACAGTGAAACTTTTAATTTTATTCCAATACTGACATTTATTTAATGTACTGTTGCTGCCTTAGCTTGTTCATAAACTTTTCAGATTGCTATTGGTTTCTTGAATTGGTAATTTTACAAACTTAGCTTTCTGCTGTGAGTTACACAGTTCAAATGTTACATGCAAGTAATTGCTTCAGGAAAAGGAAAAATGTTATGTCCTGTAATAGCATGAAAAGTACAGAAGGAGAATACGAGAGTAAAGAGAAAACTGAAGCTGAGCTACATCTGATGCTACTTATTTTCCACCTCTTCAATATAGCAACAACACAACAGTTACACATTTATTTTGATTCTTAATCTTTTTCCTTTGAATATTATGTGTTATAATTGGTTCAGATATATTTTGCTCTCAACTGCAATTATTTTCCCCACCTTTGTTTGATCTTAGTTTCTGTTGTCATCATAATGTCTCACCTCTTTTGTAATTACTTCTCACCTCCTGAAGAATTCTTCTTATCCTCAAGAGGTTAAAACCAAATTAAAATCCCATATCTAATTACTCTTCTTTCTTGTACTTTATGTGATTTTCTCATCAGTTCTACAGAGGCCTTGGAATCCAAACTGGAGGCCTTGCAGTGCCACTTCACCTGGGATCTAGAACCTACCAAGTCCAAACTGAATAATCTCAGGTATGCACTGGAGGACATCGGCACAGATGAGGGAAACGTCTGGCTGGGTCACATCTCCAACCTGCAGGGATTCATCCAGTATAAGCTGGGCTCCTCTGACAAAGCCCTGAGCATCTTCAGACGAGCCAATGAGACCTTCCAACATCTTAAAAACTCTGATAAAGGTCCCTGGTTGATAGTGAACTTTGGGAATCTTGCTTGGCTGAACCATCTTATGGGCGAAGATAAGAAGAGTCAGGATTACCTGTCAAAGGTTGAAGCTCTAATAAGAGAATACCCAGCTCCACCTGAGGAAGATCTCCACCCAGAGGTCTGTGCTGAGAAGGCCTGGACCCTGATGAAGTTTGACAAAGAGAAGAAGCTGCAGGCTGCAGAGCTCTTCCAGAAAGCCGTGAGGATGCATCCAGACAACGTGGAATGGCAGACCAGCTGGGCCATATTATCAGCAGATCCCTTCCTAGACAACATGGAAGACATGACTCTTGATGTCTTTGAGAAACTGAGATCTGCCACTGAACGAGATCCAGGAAACTTGTATGTTGCTGCTCTTTATCTGAGGGCACGAGCTGCAAAAGGAGAACAAATAAGGAGAGAAGCTCGTGTTTTGGCTGAAAGGATCCTAGAAAGATCTCCAAGCAGTTACCATGGAATCAACCAATTAAGGCGACTGTACAGGGACTATATATCTAAAGACGAAACTATTAAGTTAGTCGATGAGTACCTGAGGAGATATCCTGACTGTCGTCATGCAAAGAACTCTGCTGCCATTTGCTATAAGATGAAGATCCTTTCACCAGACTTCACACCCAGTAGTCAAAGCGGCATGGTCACACGAGCCATTCGTCTCTGGGAGGAGAGAATGGATCTCTATGGTGAATCTAATCTTAAAGATCAAATAACTCTAGCTGATTTATATGCAAAGGTGGATAAAGAGAAAGCTGATCAGATTTACGGAGAGATGTTGAAAAGAAAAAATCTGGATTCAGCAGAGGAACAGATGCTTTACACTTATCATGCTAAATATTTATTCTTCAACAGAAAAGATAATTCCAGGTCTATTGAGCACCACATGATGGCGGCAAAGATTCCAGTAGAATCAAAGTATCGACAGACAAGCATCAACGCTCTGGTGAAGACCTTGAACAAAACCAAAGACCCTAAACTGTGTGAAAAAATCAGGGAGATTCTGACCAAAGACAGAATCAATGAATAATAAAGAGATCTCAAAGAAAGATTTTATAGAGTTCTGGTTCTGCAGAGTTCTGCCCCAGGCTCATTCAATATAAAAACCTGTTTATTAGATTAGAATATAATCAAAAGTGGGTTCATATCTAATTAACTAGTTTATAAGTTTTTTTTTTCAGAAGTAATTTAATTGTAAAAGTAAAAATCAAATTTACTGAATAAGGATGTAGATGCTTACCACACTTTTTAGATAATTTAAGATCTTGAAATTCATTTACCATCATAATTTAATTTATAATTCTTTATCACTTTTATTTATCAAATAACATGATTGAAAGTTTAATCAGATCCTTTTTGATATAAATTCAAAAATGAATTAATGGGGGAACATTAGTGAACTTGGCTTATGACCTAAAGTTTAGCTTAGGAATAGTCAATGTTTGTTAAATTATATTAAATCTGTTTATACTTATTTCAAATATTCTTTCATAAAGAAAACAGAACTATTCCCTTAAAAATATACAATTATATATGATTTATTTAGAAATAATTTTGCATTTCTAACGTTATCTTTTTTTTTTTACATTGTGATTTGTTGTGAAATAACTGTAATTCAATACATTTTTAGAAAGACAAAAAAATGTAATATTTTGTTTTTATATTGATTTTTCTCAGTTCATTTCAGATATAATTTGATTGTGGCATTTTAAGTTTATATTTTTACTTGTTATCTTTTCCTGTGTGGTAAGAAAAGGTCTTTATTTGATTAGATGTAAAAAAAAAAAAAAAAAAAATAAGTAGAGTCAAATTAAAATCTATTTAAAAAACAAACAGCAGGCTCATTATTGTTTGCTGTGAGACTGGAATCACCTTGTAGAAACACACCCCAAGAAAACTGTTGTTGGCATAAGATTATAATAAAATTAATAAAGCTTGTTTGTGATTCTTGACCTTTGACCTTATCTGAACATTTGATTTGGAGCTTTGGACATTTAGAATGAGAAGCCCTGATGTATATGAATGTATATGAAAGGTAGAAGTGGGTAGAGAAACAAAAAATGTAAATTAATTAAGAGTAGCACTACTTATAACTGTACATTTTTTTTCACACGAGTGAAAGTGAAATGTAGTCATCCAAGAAATTACTCAAATAAAAAGTAGGCTATTTCGTAAAAATGTTATTCAGATTATTGTTGGATACTAACATGTGATTTAATGTTTAGAAATAATGCATAGAATTTATGCACAAGTTCTGAAATTTTAAAGACTGAAATACATAAACATGCAAACAAATGTCATAAATATAATAGAACAAATTCATGCAGAAAAAGTTATTTTACAAATTTTTCACCACAAAAAACTTAGAAAACCAATCCTTACAGTGAGAGCTATATATATGCAAGGACAGGGTAAAAAACTTCCATTGATAATATCTACTGTTTACTGCGTTTACCTGATCATTTATTAGTTAATATATTCACAGTGGACAGAGTAGTTAAGAATTTTCCTCAAGTTGGAGTAGCAATACTTTTCAAGATGTATTGCATATTAAATTAAATTTAGAAGTATGGTACAGTAGAAATACTCCACAAAGTAATTTTCTTTTCAAAGTGTTACTTAAGTAAATGTAACTGTGTAAATGTGCAAGTTACTAGCCACATCTGCTTAAAGGTAATCAGAGGTGTCAAGTAACAAAGTACAAATACTTTGTTACTGTACTTAAGTACACTTTTTAGGTATTCTAGTGGGAAAAAAGTAAACAACTATTCATCCTAGTTAAATAAACAGAGATCGATGGATTTCACTCAGTCGACACATTTATTCATATCTTTGCAAAGAGAGAACAGTCATCATACAGCCCTGATGGCACAGCATTCTGCCCTGTTCTGCATGAGCAGCGTTCATTTCCCCTTACTTACAAAAATGGAAGTAGTCAGAGTCAAAACATATTACAGACACTTTGGTTAACTGTAACATGTTATGATAATCCTTGAGAAAGAATCTGATTTGTAATGGGAAGAAGCTATGTCTGGTCTACAAACACCATCCTGCAGAGAATGGTGTGGCCTTGAAAGTGAAACAGACAGAGTGAAAACTTTTATAGTGAGTAAATAGGATATATTACTATATAATAGAAGAGAAATCAAAATTTTCCGACAACAGTAAGCATCCAGCATTTTTCTCTGTCCGTTTACCTGATCCTCACCTGTTTCTGCCTCCAGATTTTTGAGCCTGTTGGATCTGTTTTTTTTGTGCCGCCTGGATCCCAAACCTGTTTCTGTGCCCTGACCTTGTTCATCGATTCTGTTTTGGATTCTCTGAATTTCTGATCACCAGGCTCTGACCCTGGACCTCCTTTGACCATGATTACTTACCAAGCATCAGTTAGAAAGAATTCTCAAAGAAACAAAGTTTCAGGAACCAAGACACCCCGCCTGTTTATTAAAGATAGTTAGTGGCTTAGCAGTCTGAACTTTTAATCATCCATCTCAGTCGCTAACCTGTTTTGTACCCTCCAGAAGCTCTGGTTCCCCTGATCCTGAATTACCTGCAGAGTTTCTTCAATAAATCTTTTAAAGTTATTACCCGTTTTGTTCTGGTTGTATCTGAGTCCTCAGACTGAATCGTACCAACAGCTCCCAAACTATAAATTGGTAATACAATTGTATTTGTATGACAGAAAGGCATTGAGGAATATGTTTCAGGTGAAAACATTATTTTAAATGTCCCCAACTCTGATTTATAGGTGATTAAACAAAGAAAAAATGAAAAATATTTAGCCTAGCCCACTTTTATTGATCCATCTTGATCCACATCTTGACTATTACTCAAGCAATTTTGGATCGAATAGGTTGAAGCATGTTTGTTCCACAAAGGTTGCAGTGGGCAGTGTGCTAGGCGAAAATTTTATTTTTTTGATACAATGCCAAAAGTACAAAAATACATTTTTTCCACTCATAAAAGGGAATCTGGCCAGACAAATATGGTGATTTACATTATTGTAGACCTTCTGCATAAGACAAAGCCTTATAGACAACGCTGTTGCTTCATTGAAATGTACTAATAATATCACCAAACTGAATAGAAAATAAGAATAACAGAGTAAGCTTTTATAACATATTCCGGTTACATCACCTGAAATGGAGGCATAATTACCTCCAACCCCTCCTTTGAAAGGTCTGAGCCTCTAGCTTCCATAAGGGGGTGTGGCTATGAAAACCTGCTATTGCATTACTCCTGCAGAGTAAGTCATGTCAGGTGGAATTTTAAATCTCATTTTATTTGTTTACACAGCTACAAAACACAAAGTATTTGTGAAAAAGTAATTTTGAAACATGTTTTAGAAATTTTAAAGCACAATTTGAAAGGCGTGTCGATGAAACACCATGTGACTGTGTTTTGGCCATTTCTTTAAATAGATAAACATGAGCAGGTGTCAGTTAGGTCCTGTATAGAGCCGGTCGGGCTTAAAAGGTTAAGAGTGGCAGTACTTATAACTACTAATTTTTTCACTAGTAAAAGTAAAACGTAGTCATCCTAGAAATGACCCAAGTTACGAGGAGGCTATTTAGTAAAACGTTTCTCAAGTTGTTGTTGGATATCAACATCTTATTTAATCTTTAGAAATGGGCAGACAGACTTTATGCACAAGTTCTAAGATTTTAAAGACTGAAATGTATAAATTAAATATAAAGTTATTGATTTTCACCAAAGCAATTCTCCCAAATTACCCCTAGAGTTTTTAATGAAGCAGAAATACAATCAGCTTTACTTTAACTTGTGAGCTGCGGAAGTTCATCGTTTCCAGGTGAAGCTCAGCAATAGATGTCATGTGACACCATAACATTTATTTTCCACACTCATAAAGGCATAAACAACGAACAGCCGTGCCTATCTGATTAGAACATTTAATAAGCATAACCATATAACCTTCAGGCCTTCATACAATTGATTTATGGCCAGAATCCACCTCCAGGATGTTCAAAATGTTGCTGTGAGTTTCTATTTCCTAGGAAATGAGAGCATAAACCTTCAGCTTTACATAATAAAGACCAGGGTAGGGATTACATAGGGTGCTGCACCTTTGGGATGAGAGAATAAATAAGAGCAGAACCTGAGAAGCTTTTATTCACTAGAGAGACTGAACAGCTGGAAGATGAGGTGAGTCACTCTTTCTGCTGATTTTATATGCACAGGTTTTCAATTAGTCAAGATTTAACAGTAATCTGTTCACAGAGTTAACATCAAACTAAAACTGGAGCAGTTTCTGTTTAAAGCTCCTTTAAAAACATCCATCTGCTCATCATTCTGATGCTGATCATTTTCCAGACAGAAACGTCTGACTAAACCAACACCAATCTCAAATAAAGGATCGTTATGTACTTACTGCTCTGACTTTATATGTTTTATAAAGTGCTCTGACTTTATATAACATATAAAGTCAGTTTATATACAACTTTTATACTGTCATAGTTAATGTTGTCCCGTGAACACACACCCAACTGGCTGCGTTAGGACAAAAGATGAAAGTGTGATTCGACCTCAAATTATGGTCAAGGAGATAACTGTGCACAGATATGGAATACATTCACAACAACCTCCATTCAAAATATTCAAACAGACAGATCAGAATGAGTTCAAACAGTCTTTATTTATAAACTGCAAGTGCCAGCTCGACAGCTGGAGCGGATGAACCAGATCTCCTGTAGAAACAGAAACTCAGGTCAGTGACTAAGGATAAATGGCTCATAACGACTAAGAGCAATAGTCACTGACCTGATTCAGAGTTCAGTCCGATCCCCGAGGGATTTTAGCAATCCGAGAAGGAGAGCAACCCCGGAGCTCTGTGAGATGAGTGGAGCTGATGCCAAGCAATGCCAAGGAGCAGCTGTGTCCAGAAGGGAATATCCAAGCCGAAGTTGTAAAAGAACCAAGTTCATAAACCAGACGTTCAGACAGCCGATGAGGTATCGATGAGGAAATCCAAGCCGTGGTCAGGAAAACAGTCCAGGTTCTGTAAGCCAGTTG